GAAGTTAGCTGGTCACGAGACCGATGACACTTCTAACAATCAGTGCATGAATTTTTATAGGTACATGGAATGTTCGGACAATATGGCAGACCGGAAGGACCAGTCAAATAGCTACGGAAATGAAGAGGTACGAGTTGGCAGTGCTAGGAATAAATAAAGCCCGTTGGTCTCAAGCTGGACATAAAAAATTATATTCGGGAAGGATGCTGATGTACTCCGGTCACGAAGAAGAAAATGCTCCGCACAATCAGGGAGTTGCTTGGATGCTGTCCAAAGAAGCACGTAAAGCACTTATTGAATGGGGATCTAATGGATCCAGGATCATCAAAGCATTCCACAAAAAATGGAAGAAAGGATCACCATGAATGTTATCCAATGTTATCCACCCATCAATGATAGCAATGAAGACATTAAGGATCAGTTTTATGAGAGGCTGAAATCAATCCTGATCTGCATCATTTTCTTCAAAAGGAGTAACAGGAGTAAGTAGTTAGTTGGAAAGTCCACTAAATTTGCAAAAAGCCAAAGCACAAGTTGATCGACTTTCAAACTGCAGATTGATTCTTTAACTTCAAGTTATTCTGCCTGCTAATGAATTATGTCCATACTGAATTCGATCAGATATAGTATAGTTACTATTTGATCATAACTTTCTTCACTGAATATCACTTATTAATAAACCAATAAACAACTGGATGCACTGGATAATTATTTTCATAAAGCCATAGTTCAACTGTAAATATTAATAAATAGCATTTAAACTGTGAAGACACTTTTTACTTCATGTTGTTAAACTTCGATTCATTAAAAATTAAACAACTGAAAACTAATTAAATGTTAACCAAGATTGTATGTATAAAAATGATGATTTAGAATTTCACACAAAACTTCATCAACTGACTCAAATTTCTATAATTTTAAGTTAATATGTAATGAAGATAATAATTACAGTAAAGTCTATTCGATAACTTAATGGCAAGCTAATTAACGACAATGCTGTGGCTAAATTCTGTTAATAATAATAATAATCCGAATACTTTCTTACGCCTGTTACCCCTCGTCGAGGAGCATAGGCCACACACCAGTATTCTCCATCCAACCCTTTCCTGGGCAATCCTTTCCAGTTGTTATTTATCCTTCTCATATCTGCTTCTATTGCCCGGCGTGATGCGTTCTTTGGCCTTCCTCTTTTTCCGCTTCCCTTCCGAATTCCAAGTTAGCGATTGCCTCGTGATGCAGTTTGGAGATTTTCCTAATGCTTGTCCGATCCACTTCCAACGCTAACCAGAAAAAAATAATCCGAATAACTCATTAGATAAATTTTTTAGAAAAAAAATCATGAAAGCCGAATATCTTGTTTATTTATCCAAAGGTGGATATTATGAATCGGTTTACTTACATGTAAGTCTACTACTACACCTACACAATCGAATCATTTGAATCCTTGAGGATATGTCATATAAACACTGAATAGGTCAAATGAAATTTGAAACTTTTCAATTTAAATTAAATACACTTCTGAAAGAAATTCGATGTACTTAATTAAGGCCAGTTAAAACTTATGTAAATTTCATTGTAGTGTCAAAAATCATTAAAATTTGAAGTAGTAGATGTGTGAATGATTAAATATAAGTTAACATTACCGAAAGAATATGTAACAATAATAATAATAAATATATTATGTAAAGGATGATTACATACATATTTACGAAATAAGTCCACATGAACACATAACTACAGAATCGTGTCCAGCTGACGAAATGTAAGTCTTGGAGTCTGCTGCTAGCCAAATACCAAATATACTAAAACTTGTGACACAAAACTATTCTAATCGAGGTAACACATTCATGACGCATATGATAACAGGGATCGAACAATTGAATTTACTTGCTTACTTACACCTGTTACCCCAATGGAGCATAGGCTGCCGACCAGCATTCTCCAATATACTCTGTCCTCGGCCTTCCTTTTTAGTTCTATCAAATTTTAGTTCATTTTTCTCATGTCTGTCTCCATTTCTCGACGTAATATGTCCTTTGGTCATCCTCTTCTCCTTTGACCTTCAGGATTCCATGTTAGGGCTTGCCTTGTGACGCAGTTGGGTGCCTTCCTCAATGTGTGTCCAGCGTTTCTTCCTGATTTATCTCCTCCACTGGAATCTGGTTTGTTCTCTCTACAGTAGAATGTTGCTGATAGTGTTGGGCCAACGGATCCAGAGAATTTTGCATTAACAGCTGATAATAAACACCTGTATCTTCTAAATCATGGCTTTCGTAGTTCTCCAGGTTTCTGCCCTCATACAGTAGAACTGTCCTGACATTTGTATTGAAAATTCTGATCTTATTGTTGGTTGATAGTCAGTTTTTTTGAGTTCCAGATGTTCTTCAGTTGTAAATATGCTACTCTAGTTTTGCCGTTCCGCGTCTTCATATCTGCATCAGAATCCCCCTTGTTCATTGATAATGCTGCCCGGATATGTGAATGTTTTTACATCCTCCAAAACCTCTCTGTCAATTGTGATTCGATCGGTGCATGCTGTGTTGTATCGGAGAATCTTGTTTTTCCCTTTGTGTATATTGAGACCTACTGCTGCTTCGTATCTCACATCAGAGAACTCAAATAACATTTCAAACTCTTAACAGGTAATTTCAATATTGTAGATGATTTTATTCATTCACTCACATTTCAAGTGGTTTTTAGAATCTGAAACTTAAATTTTAGACCTACAGATTTAACTGAGAGGACATTCGACGGCTTTGGCTGCGATCTCTTAATCTATCGTGAGTGTATACGTCTATAGAGTCGAAATTTCGAGCAACGCATCTCTCTGAAATCTTTATATATGATTCCATAAGTTGAGAACTAGCATAGTATATAAAGTCTCTATCTGACTGATTATAACCATTTTTTTTCCATATGCTTCCGATTGTCTTGCTCAATGCTTCTCATTTAATTATGGTTATCCATTTATTCTATTAACTAATTAGGTAAACAGTATCCTGACTACAAATCATTCTATGAATATTTTGAAACAAATCTATTTTCCACAATAGTTACTCAAAATATATGAATATGTGTACTGTAGAAATAATAAATTTATTAATAAGACATCTGTTCAGTCGAAATACTCGCTCTGTAAATTATTGGATGATTACAAATATTATTTATGGGGATGTGTGCACTAAACTATGACAACAATTAGACGAATTCTACGTTGACACATGTTTATAGGAAAAAAATTGGTAACAACGTACCGAAACATTAAGTTAATTAAAACATGATTGATGTTATAAATATTGAAAGCCTATTATTCACGACAAAAACCATTATTTTTTTATTAAGATCATGAACGGCTTGATGTTAGACTACCATTCAAAACCTGGAAGCAGTGGACGGTCCTTTCGTTTCATTGTGACTCTTCCGCTCACGAGATTAGAACCCAGAGCCTTCGGTCTCGTACGAGAACGCTTAACCTCTAGTCCACTGAGCCTGTATCCAACGGTGTTAATGTCTAACCACAACTATGTCAGATAGAGACAGGTATCTACCTCAAACAGTGGAAGATGGTCGCTCAATTTCGTGAATTAAACTAATACGATGTTATAATTTACTGAATCATATTGTGGTGTTGTCTACTTATATCCACATAAGTTGTATATGGTGTGGGTCAGACATAGAATGTATTTTCGCAGAAGACCGATGAGCAAAGGACTGAAATGAAGCGCAATCGTTTGGAAAATGCATGAGCAATGGAATTAGAGAAGAAACAGTGAAGATTGAAACATTTTGCAAATAATTTGCAAATTGACTATTCATTGTTTGGTTATCAGAATTTACCGAGATAGTCTGTAATGTTTGCTTAAATACATTCGATTGTCCCCAACCAGTCGTGTTCGGTTCACTACAATATGACACTGAGCACATAATAAGAACAATTCATACTACAATTTATTAAGTAAACGTAACGACAACAACAAAAACAGAAGAAACAAAAACATCAGGATCATATCATTTACAATGATATTGATAGAATTGTTGAAAAAAAAACCAATCATTATAGTATTAGTAAAAAAGTAATATGTATATGCAGAGAGATAGAGGTTACTGAAATAATGATTAGTGAGATTCCAATCTTGTACTGAATAAGTGATATTGACGTTTTCAAAATTGTTCAATAAATGAGATCATTATATCAACACAGAAATATTTAGAGAACAAGAAAGACGGAAACGTAAAGCAACTAAAACGAAAACATTTTAGCTGGGTTTTTTTCCTTTTTTTCACAATATAGTCGTATACACAAGTGAATAATGAACAAAAATTAAATAAAGCTGAAAAACAATGCGAAAAATGAAATTACCAAACTATTAATGTTTCTTAATAGAAACACTAATGGTTTTGTTTATGATCCGTTTATGTTTCATTTAGTGAGTATAAATTATTGAAGTATGAAAAAAGAAAAAAATGACCAACATAAGTATGGCCATATATATGAATATAAATATAAAAAAACCTACACAAGTGAAATATATACCTAGAAATTAAGTTGTGCATCAAACTAAATGGTGATTACAAAGTTAAATAACCCATAAAAGATAAGAAGAAACAATGAAAAATCATATGAAAGTTAGTAATGAAATAAATTCAATAAGGAAGTTAAAAATGTATGTCTATGATGTGTTTCATTTTAGTATTCGTTGTAACAATTCTTCATTGATGTGTATTAAGAGAATTGGGAAGCAACAACAAATCAGTTACATAATAAGCAGTCAAAGTAACATCATTGGTGGTGATGATGATGATAATTCCATAAAATAAAATAAAAACATGTTTTATACTCTGAATTGATATGAGGAGAATACAACTGTATCCATTTTGCCTTGTATGAATAAATTAGAAACGAACACAAAACTGCAACCATACATACTATTTGTTTGTTTGTTTTTATAAACTAAATGATCAAAGAACTACATTCATATTTTCTACTTTTCATCGACTTTTTACATCATTAATTTAACATAATTAGCTGGAAACAATCCAACTTGTCCATCAGCATTTCGACCAAGCCACCAACCTTCATCAATTTGTTCAATGTCAAATATATGTTCTTTGGCACGAAATGATAATTCATCATCTTCATCTACACACAACAGATGATAAATGAATAAAAAAGGAAATGTAAAGATTAATATCGGAACTATAATAATGCCAAATCAAGCACCAGATTGTAAGTTTATTATTAAATTATCCAGTAATTAAATAAAATTGTAAATTTATTCATAATTTGTGACGAGTGCCCATTTCATTTAAAAGTTTTCAAAAAAACATCACAATAGTTATTCGTTCTAATTTAAATAAATAGGTTTCATCGTAAAACTTTGTCAATTACTTTATGAATTATGAATTACGGTTTCATTATATCTGAAGAGAACTAATGTTATTTCCTATGGCCCGTCAAATATCACGTGATAAAATCGCCAATCGGAATGCCTACTTCTATGATCTTGTCACTGTGTTATATCAATGGCACGTCAACCAGCATAAGTAGCCTTGATTCAACTCTTGATCCCTATTAGTTCTCTGTACAATAGCATCTTGCCTGGTCCAGCCCGTTCAGTCCCGAAGACAAATTATATCCTCCGCCAGATAAGTAGTATACTTCAGACATACGTGGTTTACATGCACACAGACGAAACCGCATCAGTCCATAAAATGAAAAATAACACTTATACAACATCAAGATGAAAGTGGCTGTGAGTATAAGACACTGTAGCCAAAAGATTGGGAATAAATCAACAATGACAAATAGTATAACAGTAGCCAATATATCAGATGAAAGCTTATGATGAAAGAAATATGAATTATCTAATAAGAATATATACAGTAATAGTCCATAAATAATTCCTAGCAGTTAACATTCAACATCACTATGAAATGCTTAAAAATACTAATTTTCTTTTAGAATATTTATTCAAAAAAATAAATCCTATCCAACATTATCTAGGATGTTGAGCTGACGATGAAGACAATTGCATTTATATATTGCCATACAAAGAGTTAATAAATCACTGATGTATATACAGCTAAAAGCTTAAATAAGTTACAGCACAAAAACACAATTATCGTATATGAATTAGTTATTTGTATCGTTTAATTTAATCATCATTAAGCTAGTCAATATTTCAAAACATAAGACTATAAATATTCTATATCGTTTTCTTTCATAAATAATAATAATAAGAGAAAATATCTGAAAACAACTGTTATAAAGATTAGTGACTAAATACACTATTATGAACTCACTAGCGTTATAATCATATAGACAAACAGCTTTAAGATTTGAATTTCTTTTATTGTGCACTTCCGTGTTAGGCGATGAATCAATACATGATGAAGCTAGTTTATACATTGAATTCTGTGGTGAAACTGAGTTTTGATGATAAATATTATTGTTACCATTGTTTAACTGTTGCTCAATGTTAGAGTTTCTTTGATTATTTGAAATATCTGCTATTGGCGATAAAGAAAAAGGAGGTGATGTGGTTTGTTGTTGGGATTGCTGTAAAGACGACTGATGATGATAACCATTTTGATATGATAACTGATCTCGACTATTTGAATTATTATTAATATCAGACTAGAAGAAAAATGTCAAAGTAAACATTTAGTTTCTATATGACAATGAACGATAAAAATGTATACATGTACAGCAATAAAAAATATACTCTTTAAAACTATAATTTTAATTTGCTAAACGAATTTATTTTCTAAATAAGTTTTAACTGTCAAGAATCAACAGTAGAGCGTAGTCTTGTACTTTGTATAATATACACGGTTACAATCTATGGGATTATTATCCGATTATATAATACGTAACTATCTAGCAGATCATAGTCACCAGTACGTCTGTATAACCAGTTTTTTTAATACATGATGTGGCTTCTGAGTTTATATTTTACAGTGGTCACTAATATAAATGAAACTCCCATCGTTAATATGATGGATGGTGAGTAGTTCATTACTAGGAAGAAACGGCCGTCTAGTGCTCCCAGGTTTTCAATAGTTGTCTAACAGTGATTGATTCATGATTTTAATGTAAAAGTGATACTGAAGCTGAGTTTGCGATGGGCAGTTTACCCGAAAGAACTTTTATTTGTGATTTTTGAAACCTATCAGATATATGTTGTCATGAGCAATAATATGTGTAAAGTATAAAAGTGTAAAAAGTATAAAAACAAAACTAGATTGATTATTTTGCTGTATCATTTCAGATAGATTTCTGGAGTAAAATAATTATTAGACATAAATGTACGAATTCAAAGTATTTTTGTCATATCAAAGGAGATTAGTGGAAGATTGAATTTTAAGAACTATCGTACGGGAAATTATTACTTACATATTCTTGCATAAATATTAGACACTTGGATTATTGTATCTTTATATTCTCTTAATCGTTACCTTTTGGTTAACCAGTCTAGCAGCCTGTTTGAATATCTGGGCTACCTGTGCGTGCTATCTAGATATTTCAACGTTATCTAATTTTGTTTGTTCTAACACACCATTATGTCTATTCATCGCATAACCTATTCAGGCGCGTTTATGAAAAGTTCACGGACCTTCGCTATGCAAGTAACAAAAAATTACAATTAGAAACATCATGGTGGCTAGGAATATGCATTGAAAAGAATGAACATTATTCAGATGTCAATTCCTGAACTGCTAACACACAACTGGCGATCACTCAAAAATTATCGTCAGGTTCGGTCAAGAAATAAGAAAAAGAAACTTGTTGCAATACTTTGTGCTGAGAATTCTATGTTGTTCCAAAAAGTAAATATTGAATAATGCCATTACTAATAACAATAATCTGCATATCGTTGATATAAGTTTTATAATAACAGAATTATCACTAAAATATTATTTTCCTGGTATTCCATTCTAATATCACTTATGATTGAATTTTTCATATATTGTTGTTTTGTGTTGCTATTCAGTAGGATATCCGAGGTACACATTATGTGAGTTTTAAGTCATGATTCAATAATGTACGGGAAAAGATTATTCTTCTTGTTATCTTCGTCTCCTGACTGAGCACTGGGTTGGGAGCAACTCGACGACCAACAGGCGTTAGTCGGAGCGCAATGATTTAAATGCAGCTTGAAGTTCATGTTTTTATAAGGATATAGAAGTTTTATATATGATCAAACGCAGACAAATGTTTAGCCTTAACAAACACACAATATACATCAATGAAGGGGTCAGAAACTATTTAAAATACACATTATATTCAAGTTATTGGCTCAACATGAATCTATAAGAAACATTACCTTTTCATTTGTTGATGATAAAGTATTTGAATTATTTGCGGCTTTAATAGAACGAATTTCCGACTGAACATCTGATTGTTTATAATTAGCACCCTATGAAAAGATAATTAAACAATAATAATATAATAAAAAAGTAGTTTCTCTCTATATGGACCCATAAAACAGGTAATTACTAGAATGTAATGAATGAAAGCAGGCTAGTACGGAAGGCATGAACATCTATGCAGAAATTTTCCCAAATAAGATAAACAAAACCCTAGATTTCATCACCGGATAACTGATATGCTAGTCAAAATAGGCTAGGCAACTAATATATCAAAATATATCATAGTAGAAAAGTATCCATTGTAATACAAAATACGTTTTTAATCTTTTTTTAGAAAAATCGGATAATACCGCTGAAAATTTCAATGAATAGCTTTGTTTACTAACATTAACTCCCAGGAAATGATTACGGTAGTGGTAAGGAGACTAAAACCCAGACTGGGTTGTGATATGTTGAACACATCTACGCCTAACATTGAAACCCCACATGTTGCTATGATAAGTGATTTGAAATTAATCCTAATATGATTACGGAAACTAACATTTGAAGGGTTTTGTTGCATGCACTGAAAGTTCTGCAATTACCATAGGTTGATTTACATCCATTTTCATAAACTAAAATGATTAGGAATCAAGACAAGTGTAAAACTTTCGCGTCCCGTAGTCCAGTTAATATTTCAATTAAACTAACTGAACATTCCTAGTCGCTTTCCCTAGATACTCCTGGAATTATTCCCAGATACTCTTTTTGTTTCAGACCTTAGGATGGCCAAATTTAAAGTCCTATGCGCGTTAGGATCTGATTGTGGGCGACTGGAGTGTAACCAGTCCAGTTAAATTGTTTTTCAGTGTTGCGACGACGTTTGAGGTTAATATTAACCAAACTTCTTTTTGTATCTCTTACGTCCGTTGAAGTAAGCCACAGACGTGTCTTCGCCTTCGCTTTCACAACTCACTACCAGTGATTGGTGTTTGATTTGCACTCAGAGAGTTTTCGTTTTTCGTCTATACTGGAGCCTGCTGATATGAATCTCCAGGTATCAGCCGAAGACTTATAAGTTGCACTAGTCTATATTTTACGGGTTGGACTGTCACGAGGAGAGGAATACTAAAAGGTGTAGTAATTTGCAGTTGTAGAATACAGAAGGAAATTTATTTGACAAAGAACTCGGTTGAAAACCGAACACGATTGCTGGTTCATGGAGGTAATTACTGAACTTTGGACTCAAACATGTTCTTTCGCAATGAAAATATACAGTGTTTCTATCTCATTCAACTCAACTATTTGTAGTTTAATTCATTCTGCATAATAGTGCTACACTCTTCACACTGAAGCAGTCAAAATGAATTATAACTGACTGAAAATACATTTGAATCTGATGTAGACTTCAAGTTAACAGTCCGTCAGATAATAAAAAACCATATGGCGGATTAAAATAAAACTGGTAATGTTGGTAATATTGGAAGTAACTTTTCATGAATGAGTGAATTGTCTTAGCAGTTGCGCAAAAGCAAACATTAAGGAATAACTAACAAAGTTCAGTGAAAAAGTAAAACTTACAACAGGTTCACTGTTATTGAAGACAGATTCTTGAGGCTGTTTACATGCACGAGCTGCCAAAATTTCAGCTCTTGGGTCTTGCTTCTTATAACATGTGCCCTAAATCCCATAAGATAAAGATAAACTGATATATATATATATATATATATATATATATATATATATATATATATATATATATATATATATAGTGGCGATTATAGAATATGAAGTTAATGAAACTAATTTGTAAAAAAAAAGAGTTTAATACTGGTGAATCGATAATTATGTCAAACAGGAAATTTAGGTGTTGCTACAAATGGATTTTTTGTGATCCTTCCCAATTGCCTACATTATCTTCCATTGAGAAAATAGATAAAGATAATAATAATAATAATTTACTTACTGACTTTAAGGTCTGGATGCAGATCATCAGAAATTTACTTAAACAGCTTAAATGTTAGCAAACGGTCCACCATTATAATTCTATGAAGCATTCATCACCACGTTAGCATAAGGACTAAACTATTTTTTTAACTCATACCTACGGCAAAAACTTTTTGAGACATTTGTTAGCGTTCCCTACTGCTTTAAACCTTATCAAATAATTGTTTAGTGGGTCACACTTAGAATTGAATTTACTATAGGTTGATCTATTTTAAGATAATTCAGTCGAATCAAAAAGTGCGCACAATACTTGTTATTTAGCAAGCCTAAATCACATTTTTAGTTTTGCTTTTTCATAGATTTCAAGTGGTTTATTATCGAGTCACTGAATAAGAATGAAGAGGATTTAAGGAAAAAAAATTCACTTTCCGACAAAATCATTTACTTAAGCTGTAATATGGTACATCTATAACTCTACAGAAAGATAGAAATCATTGAATCATAAATGAACATAAGGTTTCCAACATCAAAAAAAGGTTAAGTAGTGATGGAGAGTTTAGAGAATAAGATGAAAATAATTTACAGGTCAAAAATATAGAGATGATTGCCCACGTGAGAGATTTAAAGAAATGAAAAATGAAAAGGTTATAATAATAACAATAATAATGATAGGATATAAATCATAAAATAAATTGTTAAAGAATAATAAGTGATTTTGGTTTAAAAAGCACAAGATATTGACCGCAACAAAAACAGGACAAAACATACTGAAGAAGGGAATCACAGCGCTGGAAGGGTAAGAGATTAGACGGATAAAGTGGACAATTGTCTCATATATTTCTCACCCGTAGATTATTTTCATCTTCCTATTCTTCTCTAAACTCTCCACCATTGAGCAATCATCTTTTGATATTTAAAACATTGGGTCACTTTATGAAATTTCATTACATTCTTCTAAAGACTCATGTATTTACTAAACAACTGTAAATGCGAGTGCATAGCTTCAATAAATGATTTTGTAGGGAAGAATTTTTTCTTCACTGAATCGTTTGTTCTTTTTATTTATCATACATACTACTGTTACGCATAGGCTTAACTCCCTATTTTAGGATCATTCACTGAAGTTAGTGTCTCAGTCTTAGGGTCAACACCGGGATGCAGGTACATTCACCGGATGAGTTACAAACATGACGAAATGCACAACTTAGAATACACGATTGATCACGTAGCAAACAGAATAAAAACAGAAATATAAGTTCGTAATAGATAAGAAAAATGTCCCAAGATGATTTAGGAAAATAGGTACAACTCGCTACCATGTAGTAATATGACATTATATAGCAAGTATATCTTTTGTACGAAATTTACCATAAATTTTCACTTGGAATTTGAGGTTGTTTAGACATTTCTTTCTGAGTATTCACTGTATTTCTCTAAAGACTTATTAACACTATCAACGAACTGAAAATTTCATTTCGTCGCGCTAACAGGGTATGGTAACTTGAACCAAAATAAACATGTGCCAGATTCTACATTGCGCGTGAATGAGTGATTGAGTATTCACACTCAACGATTCCTAAATATACACAGAAACTGAAAAGTGAACAAACCAAACATGACATATATTTGTATATCTACCAGATATAGTGGAGCTCTAAGAAACATCAAAATATCAAAAATCACACACCAACCACTATAGAATGGTATAATTTTGAAAACCTTACTGATGTTGACTTTAAAATATCCATTCTTTAAACTTTATATCAATGAATAGGTACGCCTACTTGGAATATACCATTACATTATATCAAAGAAGGAGAAAACAGTAAACAATTTGTATCCCAATAAGTATAGCCTTATGGATTGAAAACACATTGTCTCGCTTCACAAAATGAATAAACATATACATTAGCTAATATAAAATATTGGAAGCTCAATAATCATCAAGTTGATAGGATTCACATGTAATCAACATGAACTGAATGACTGTATATTATAATGCCAATAATAGAAAATAATGCACGCGGAGAAAATATTCGAAAGAATAACAAAAGAACTACTGTGAGAAATTTTGAGTTTTCTAATATTCAAAGACAATAAAACAAGTAATTTCAATATTAGTCATCAACAAAAGATAACAGTGATGCACGTCAACAGAACATCCAATAAAATATTTAGGCAGATAGATAGTAAGTAAAATAAATATGGACAACTGTAAGCCTTTACACTCAGGTAACGTCCTTTTCTTTCTATCTCTCAAACATACACACACATACGGTACCATAATTATCCATCAACAAAAACCGGGAGTGAAAAAAATACCTGAAAATATTTATCATAGGCTCAGGAAGTAAGTAACAATTGTAAAAATGTTTTTAGCGAATATATCAAAGGCAGTAGAGAGAAAACACATAATAGTTCCAGATTTACAAGCGGAAATTTGTAAAAATAAATACTAACAGAACAGTGGCTTTGAAAGGATAAGGATCTATCTAGTTATGGATCGATATCTACAAAATTCTATTGATCAACTTTCTGACTACAAACGAACTCAGAATTACGAAACGGCACACCGAATTTGGAATAAAACCACACAAAAATAAAAAAAGGCAATCCAAAAAGCTTCATTTTATGCGAAAGCACAATTATCTTGATAAGGTTAAATAAAAATGGGATCAGTGATTTGTGTGTTACTTGAACGGAGTGTATCAAGTGAGGGAAAATGGATTACTTGATGATTTTTTCCTAGCTAGTATTGACTTTGATAGCTGTTGTGTTCGAATTTAATCTACTCTAACGAGTCAAGCTTGTCGAAACTATGCATTTTTTTAGTTAGAGAATAATCGTGGCTTAGCCACGGTAGGACATCTTTGGGAGTGTTTCTTCTACTTTACAGCTCATTATCAGATTTGGATTTGGAGAGATAATAGCATACCAAACATGCTTGCCTTTTTGCTTAAGATGGTCAGTGCCTACAGCGGCGGTTAGATATTTTTAGAGGTATAACAATTATATAACAGCCAGTAGCCCTGCATTTATTCTAATTTCCCGAAAATTTTGATGAATATCTAGATTTTGGATGATTTTGTAGCTACAATCTGGAATTTCCTGGACTCTTAAAGTATTTGTTATGTATCAGAATAGATATATGTATCCTCTGAATCTAGTGATAATTAATTATTTTAAAAACAGAAATCTCATTTAGTTAATCATGAAAACACAAACTAAGATTTATAACATCTCAATAAGTTTCTTTTTCAATTACATTAATGAATGGTTTAATTTATGTATGAATTTACCGTGAAATACAATTTGGACGTGACAATTTTACAGGATCTTCACCAAATCATTTAATTATATTTAAACAGATGATTATGAAAGTATGTTCTCATGTCAACAATTGAAAAATAGGAGAACACACGAGAGAATGTAAAGATACAATTTCATGATAAACAAACGATAGAGTGGGTGGGTTAAATAATAAGAACTTGTACTTAGATTTTTGTCAAAAAAAATCACATACGTGATGAAAAGAAATGAACTATATTGATATAGGAATATTTCAATCTTAATAAAGTAGGCAGGCAAAACATAATTACATTTTACCATATAATGTTATTGTAGTAAAATAACCAACTCTGATTACGGCTAGGAGCAAAGTTATCACAATTTACAATAACAAATTAAATCAGTTAACTAAGAGTAACCAGAAAAACATATCAATAAGTGTACAATTAAAATGTACATGAAAAAGACATTGAGATGAACAATAAATAAGTATAGGTAGTATTTCGTAACTCATTTATCAACTATACTGTTTTGTACATTTTTTGGTGAAAGCTAATCATAAAACCTGGACCATCAAAGCTAAAGTGGATAAAACAGAGTTCGAATCTCTGACTGACTAATAGAAAGTCGAGTGTTTTAAATATTAGGCCACCTGTCCACCGTGTTGAATTAATAAACATAAAACTTATTATAGGTATCATTACCAAGTCTTGGTTTGATAATTTTGAATAAATTGAGCATTGGCTAGATTGTTTTAAATAAATTATATATTTGTAATATCCCGATGAGTAGAAAAATTAGATTTTCTGACGTTTCGTGACTCAGTGTAAGCCACTTCTTCAGAGAATAAATAACCAAATTAACATTAATCCAAGTTTAGATAGTACAATTTAAACTACTACTATTTAAATTTGGATTATTGTTAATTTGGTTATTTATTCTCTGAAGAAGTGGCTTACACTGAGTCACGAAACGTCAGAAAATCTAATTTTTCTACTCATCGGGATATTACAAATATATAATTTATTTATATAACTTCTTAGTTCTAGTTAAGTAAGAGATGAATACATCACATACACAGCAAAGCATACATTATTCTTCAAATACAGATCGACCGAAATAATATAATTTCCACACATCAGTCAGTTGTCGTCAATGTTAAACCTCGTATAGAAGTAGATTAGCCCTAATTGCCATACCACATTAGCACAAAAAGATGAGTATTAATAAAATGGAATAATTCAATGACAACGACAATGTGGAAAATTCAATGTTGAGAATATAGTTCGAAAAGACAGAGCGGCAAAGTATGTGTGAAAAAATACTGGAATTCGAAACCGGGAGAAAGATAAAGAGAGAATGAATCAGCATCACTATTAACAAATATATGCTCTTTTATCTAAAGTCTCCAGTCACCGGTCGTAATTATCGAGTGAATTGAAATCAAGCATTGTGAATCTACCAGCATGACTCAAACCAATGGTCAATGACTTCATTGGTTAGTAACAGTTTTTGGTTTGGTTGACTTTATATTTCTTTCAATCTTATTTATTTATCTAAACACATAAATATTGATACAACGAGGCATCAGAAATATATGCGCCTCACAAATCTCATTTGATTTGTGTGAGGACTGTGATACTGCTCAGATGCCCAAACTGAAGCAGGTGGTTTTCTTAGGGGACAATATCCAGAGCCTTTGACCTAAAAGGTCTGATCTACAAGGCAGTGGAGCATCTTAAGGAGATGCAGTTCCATGGTAGCCGGTGACCAACAATTGGTTCATACGCCATTTGTTCCATCAAGATACTAGAGCCCATGTGCACCATTGGTTTGGAATGAGGGTTTTCCAGCTCCCCTAGGTGGATGCGCTGTGTCCACCAACCCGGTTAAAGCGCCGGACATTAGCTTTTCGTCCTCTCAATTTCGCAAACAACACCCCCGTCGAGAGAAGGCAGTGAATAGGGCTTCCCTGGCAGAGGCTAAATACACGTGGCCATGTGAGAGCATTTCGAGAGGGAGAGCGGACTCTCCCCACTCTCGGCCGTACCAATACCACATATCGAGGTAGGCGGTGGTTGAACATACGTGATGCATGTCTCAACTACTTCGATAGATGTATATTTTACGATCTCATCAACTGATTTCTCATATTTGCTTAGGACTTTGTCCTTTATCTCAACATCATTCACTCGGTCATCCTAGAAAAATGATCAAAAACTTAAAGTCTATGAATGTCTTTTATTTTCAGAGACCATATACATATATGATGAAGATATATAAATATGACTGTATGAATTCTCCAACAACAACAACAAATGCTAATTTATTGATTTTCATATCAAATATCTTTTGATATTTCTTTATTAAAAAAATAATATTTATGATAATTAAATCAATTGATTATAAAACAAATAGAACCAATGTTCCCAAAAATGTTTGATAAAACATAAATGAACAAAAAAAAGATAGACCAGAAAACATACACACACAAAAAATGACAAAAATATGGAATAAATAAAAACAAAACATTTATTACCACATGGTTTGTATCCTCTTCATCTTCATCATTATTTACAGATAATGACAATTGTTTTGCAAGCATAATTTCTACACGTGGATCAACTTTTCGATAATTTAAAGCCTAAAGAATAATCATAATAAAATTTAATTAAAGTCATATGTTGTAAAATACATGAATGATTTAATCATGGTTGAAAATGTTCTAATATATGAGGCTTTTCAATACAACTGAACAATTTTATTCATTGAATTGTAAGATTGATACATTTGAAAATGAATAGTTCTTTCGTTACTTAAGTAATTCTAGAACTGATATAACAAAGGAAGAATTAAACCTGACATCTAAAAAGTAATACCATTGATCAATAGTTCCCAAATCGTATGCTCGTTAAATTGTTACATAATTCTAAACATGCTTAGTTTAATGTTCAATATATTGTATATAAAAGTATTATTTTGTTATGGAAAAACATCATCTTATTAAGCAGTTGCTTTGTCTTTTGACATCAGTTCAATTGGAGGTTAACGTCAATAGTTCGATCTCGTAAACAGTTATCATACGGTCATACTAAATCTTACTAACCGGTTGACGCATTCCATTCATTAGCATAACAATAATAATCCCCAAAGATCATAAAACATTAAAGGCTAACTCATAACAATACTCGTAAACTTTCATACTACCAGTCTAGTAGAGTTGGTAAACCTCTCGCAGTAACTCTGTAGAACGAAAAAAGTTAAATATTTGGAGCAGACTTTGTTAGAACATTGATTTTAAAACATGGTAAAAACTTGTACTTAGAAAATTAAAGGTTGTAACTAACAAAAACCAGAGAGAATTTAATGCGTATTTTTTTCATCATACTATTTTATTAACCTTATTATCACGTTATATAAATACAGTCAGCTTGCAAAAATACTCAAAAATTAAGTATTTTGAAAATAAGACTTGAAATAACCGATCACTTCTTGATAAAAAGAAAACACTTTAATAAATTAGACTAATTTCACTACGAAACTACATACAATATTATATTGTACAACCAATTCGATTTTCTTCATTGTCTTGTTTACTTTTTAAACAGCCTTATAATGCCATTGTTTCTCATTGGAAAGCAGAATACGCTTGACCTAGCTATTACAAAATAATATTTTGTACTTCAGTAATATATTACTAGAAAGTTTCTGTTTAATAAGGGCTTTAACCATTGTTTTAACCAAAAGAAACCTATTTATATGGTATTATCAAATTTTTTCGATCTTTGATATCTGTCATAGTTTTGACTACAAAGTCCAAGATATAAACATAAATATGTTCTCTTATGTGAAACGACCAAAGATTTATTTAAAGGCAGTTGAGCATTTTAGAAAACAAATACACTGCAAAGGAAATTTTCTTGTTCGTTTTTCACACACCCCCTGAAAAAAATTGGATTTACATGCAGACTTTTTAGTTGTGTTTAGATTGTTATCCATTTGGTGGAATAACATCGATAATTCCACCTTACTTGAAACTACAGACTGATCACTTTTGTCATGTTCTCGTAACAAGCTTTCATACTACTTATTTATTGATTGAGTAGCCTAACTTTATTGCGGAAATTATACATGGATAGGAAGCAAATCAGCTTATTTGCAAACAAACCCCAGATTACCTAATAACAGTTGAGCTACACTCAAAATATCATCAGAATCTTTCAACATCGAATAAATATATGCTCTTATAAGAGATATGTGGTCATGAAATGAAGGAACTTTAGATCACGACATCTACAGTAGATCCCTGCCCAGCACCATCAAATGTGCAAATGGCATACAGAAATTAACTGACTAAAAGTGATTACACACAACTTATGTCTAGAATCCTTGGTGAATTTGTACAGAAGTGGACTCTTAGCATGTTCGTTTCCTTGATGAAGTATAGTTGCCTCGAATTCCTTAACCGTAACAGGGATTATACCTAATAAAACTGATAAAATATACGCTTGCTTTGCTTTCTCAAGTGCTGTAATCTTGCAAATATGTACTGAGAATTTTCCCTTTCCTGAAGAGCCAATCCGCATTCAAAACTAGTTTGATAGGATCAACTAGCTAACTTCATCCGTCTCATCACAACATTTGCCATTCAGGAAATAAATGTTGTAACCACTAGAACCTTAAAATATAAAGTACTTATTCTGCATAATCTAATTCAGAATTTTCATCGACAAAGTTTACTAAGTAAGAGGTAAACAATTCTAACCGAAATGAAAGAACAAAAGACTATAATACAGTAAGGGTCAACGAACAGTCATACATGTTCATATGTACAAAATGTTCATCGAAAATACTGCTAACATGAGACAGTTTGATCACATAACTCACGACCACGAATTTTCGAATCATTCATTTTATATCATATTATTGTTTTCATTTGCTAAGCATTACTAATTATACACTCTTCAGTCATTTTTATTTGACGAATCATAAAAAGCAAAGTATATCACTGATAGTGATGAATTTCGAACAAACAGTATAAAATACAAGATGTAATAGTGAAAGCTTTAGGTCGATTAATGATTATTGTTTTCATTTATCTTATCAAATAAACACCTATAGAGCAGCTAACTTAGTGAAACTATTAGCATGTAAATCGACAGACTAATTTCTGTTCTGCTTAATAATATCTATTAGGAATAGAGGTGGTTTTTGGAGATTGTGACAACAGTAACAGAACCATTATGAACCATGATTCACTAAACTGTTTTATTATCGCTTAAGACTTCACGCAGATGAGTACCTATATACCAAGGTCAAATAGAACTCGGAAACTTCAAGTTTTCTGCCAACTGTAGGTCTGTTAAGATAATGAGTCGAAATTTAATGGTCTTATTATATGACTAAGATAAATTTACGATATACTATGACATATACACATTACTATCGATGCGTGTCTGTCATGATCGCCATTAGGTTGACTGTGTACGTAATAACTATCCCCAATTTTTTATGGCTTTTCCATTGTCAGTTCATGAAAAAAACTTAACTTTGAATATCTATTCAGTTTACATTTGAAACTGGGTTCTATGATCTGTTCAGTAATTCCAGTAGCATACCAACAATTCATCTATCATCATGATACCTTATTAGCTAACCTTTTCAAACGATCTTTTAGCTTTCACATAGCGCGAAAAAATATTGTAAGTGCCCTCTAAACGGAAAGCGCTATACCTGAGAGATTAGAATGAGATTGTAGCGGGTTAAATCAGCTGCTTCTAGATTCGATTTCTAGACTACTTTAATCAGAGACTTGTGATGCCTATTGCTTTCCTTAGTAAATGTAAGCGCATTGTGTACGCTCCCTAGGTTTTCGGAACACTATTTTTCCACTTTTCCTCAATCACTCTACCCTGCGTATTTCCTTAATACACAAAACACCTTTAAGCTAAATGCGAAACGCTAAATCGTATAATCCTAACTACCAAACTATATAAAATTATCAGCTTTAATTATCGCGCAAGTAAACTAAAAAACTGAAAAAAAAATAACCTATTGATCAAAAATCCATTGTGCATAATTTTCAGGAGTGGATTATAATTACTAACGGAAGATATGTAACATGCAATGAATCATAGGCGCAAACACAGACACACTAGTATGAATATTTTATGAAGCGAACATTTAAAAGTAGAAAGATAGATATTTACAAACTACATCGTCTATAATCATCATAGTCAAGAAGAAAAAACCTGTAGTTGAAACACAAAAAATAAAATTAATTTTATTGTTAAAAATAATTGTTATCGATTTGCTGAGTAATCTGATATTTTTACAACTACATAAATTGCGGTACGCCTAGTTTTTGGAATACCTGAAAAAGCGTGATATATTTTTCAGATTATAAAGCCAATTATAAAATTCGTGAAAACATCTTGAAATGAGGCAGTGATGACGAAACGGTTATTGTTTGGTTGAAAGATTTGTGGAGATTAATACAACTGCAATAGTTATTCAGTGACAGAAAATTCTACTAATACCATCCGCATCATTTTTAGTGCACATAGAATACTATCAATCAATTTGCGATACGGCCACTAGTCTAGATGAATCTACATCACGTACAATATGCTGGGATATGAGATGGTGGTTCAAGGTAGTCAACAGGAAATCTTGAACCTATATATCGTGCTACTTGGCACTAGTAAGCAAGGTGTACTTGTAACCTTGAGGTATCTGATGCTTCCTGGAAGATCTGATTTCATGTCACATAGCTTCATGAATCCGTTGTTGTTATACTTATAACTGAAAGTAAATTTTTGGAAAACTATTTGTGACAACTAAAGTCTAGCTACCTATTTTGTTCAATTTCGAGGTGAGCAATTTTTTTAAGTCATAATTACCAATATTATGTGTCCTTCGTCCTTACCACAATTAAAGAAATTTTTCTGCAATTGGTTTATTGGTGATTTACTATGCCGACTTTTCCTTTATCTTAGAAGATATACCAAAAACTATTTGAGCTTAATAAAGGTTTGATTGCACTTTCTTTTTCGAATGATGCAAGTACAGTTTTAGTCAGAATTTTACTTCTGAGTGGGGAAATGATGTTACTCTTTGTTGTCTAAGGTAATCGATATCCCAAGTATAGAACCAGTAGTACTATGTAGCATGGATGCAAAAATGATGCGATGACAAGATTTTAAATTAACAGTTACGATTGTGTACTATTCAGTTTTTTTTAAAATAATTAACGACAAGTTAAAATTATTTAGTCATGCATTGATACATAGATAACGACACTGAAATTTTATAAATCAGGAAAGACGGTCAACAAAATTACAAACGATTACCCCAAAATAGTTCATAAAAAGGCAACTATGATTGGTATCAGTCAGTTACAGCAGACATAAACTTTAAACAACGGAATATAGAGAGGCGGAATAAGATAATCAATAAATTTATGATTTACAGTAATGAAATAATACTTATCGAGTAGTTACGTTACGTATTAATTATATAATAACACATTGATTATTAAATAATATTGAGTAATTGGAAGGAAGAGGATTATAATAATCAAAGTAATTATTCGAAAAATCAAACAGTTGCTACGTTGCATAATATATAAAAAGAAAGAACAAACAAAATATTTTGATTAAAGGTCAATATTATGGTTGTTATGTAAGAATCAAGGGACGAATGATGGAAATATGTAAAATATAAAAATTGATAGAAATTAGAAAATAGTTTTAAATAATTTTGAAAGAAAAGGGTTTCATCAAAGTTCAGTTACAAACTCACTGTTATACCGATAACCAGGATGACGAGAGAAAGGAAAAGAAGACCAAATATATTTATCATCTCTAAGAAAGTACTGTACTTAAAAACATAATTCCTAAATGATTCTACCGAGAAAATCGCGACTCATAGGTTAAGAAAGGGAATACAGAAAAAATTTACTGAAACCTGACTGAATGCCGTTTTCTACAACCAGATCATAATAAGAATTCTTAATAAAGACATGCTGCCTGAATTCGCCATATCCATATATATTCACTAATTCAACTGCTCCTGTGGAATCAGTTATATAGGGCGTACAATTGATCTAGTCCGCCATTGCATATCAGAACACCATCCATCTTGGTTAAGCAAAGGACAAGTAAGAGTGATTAGTTCTATTCTCGTTCACTTGGTGGACACATGTCATCACCTTGACTTGAATGAAGCATTTAAGGTTATCCACTATATTCCATCAAGCTTCCCACATAGTTTACGAGTTCGTTTTTTGCATATTGCTAAAGCCATCGGAATTTATATTCATAAACCAAACTTTTCCATCCATTGATTCTTACATAACAACTATAATATTGACCTTTAATCAAAATATTTTGTTTGTTCTTTCTTTTTATATATTATGCAACGTAGCAACTGTTTGATTTTTCGAATAATTACTTTGATTATTATAATCCTCTTCCTTCCAATTACTCAATATTATTTAATAATCAATGTGTTATTATATAATTAATACGTAACGTAACTACTCGATAAGTATTATTTTATTTATTATAGTTGAAAGCGTGAGTCAATTGAAGCTAGACCACCATGGAAAACCTGGAAACACTGGACGGCCGTTTCGTCCTATTATGGGACTCCTCAGCAGTGCGCATTCACGAACCCGCTCTAGCGAGATTTGAACCCAGGACTTACCAGTTTTGAGCCGAAGCCTTGACCGATAGACCACTGAGCTGTCATCCAACCCGCGAGAGCGGGTTCGTGGATGCGCACTACTGAGGAGTCCCATAATAGAACGAAACGGCCGTCCAGTGTTTCCAGGTTTTCCATAGTGGTCAGGCTTCAATTGACTCACGCTTTCAACTATAATAAATACTAGATCTCCACAAAACCCCTTCTATATTATTTTATTATTGTAAATCATACATTTATTGATCAGTGTAGAGCCATGATGAAAAACTAATTGGGAAGAAATCTCTTCGCTCAATTCGTTCTTTTTTCTGTTAAATATCAAAATGAGGATGATCAGTTCACTATTCTAGAAAACTTTTCATTAAACGCTTCAATTGTAGTAATAAATTTTATACAACAAATTAGTATAACATTACTAAGTATTATGCGTGTTTAAGCTTACGATAGATTAGTAGACAGAAAGCCTTCATAAATGTTCCATTAGATAACATCACATTTGGTATATAAACATTGAATATATATATATATATATATATATATATATATATATATATATATATATATATATATATATATATATATATAATTGTGCTATATCCGATTCACTAAAATATCATACGAAATTACAGCAAATTATGAATTATATCAATTGCTATTACACACACACAAGGTGAATATTTAAACAACACTAACCGTTTCATTTGATGGCAGCTTGGATTCTAAAGCTTTTATACGATTTTTAATAGTATTAGTCACCTCGTCTGGTGGTACTTGCTTCATGATATTCTGTGATTGATTTTCAGAGTGTACATTATTGTTATTGTTATTTGTCTCGGGTTCACAAATAGGTCTAACAAAACCAACGGGTTTCTAAAATTTCCGGTAAAGAAAAGAAAATGTATTCTTTTGAAGAGGAAAGGTACGTAAAAGTGATGACGGGTAGTCTATTGTTACATTAATGAAATTTATCAAAACAAAAATCTCGGATTAATGCATAACAACAAGTGGAGAAAATGTGTGTGTCTACCAGACAATCAACGTTACAAACCAACTTAAACCCAAGTAAAAATTTATAAAAATAACTGAAAGATATTTACAAGATGAATTTTACTTATATAAATGCTAGCCAAATAAGAACTAGTGAATAAAAATGATTAATTTGGTAACACTTATATTATTTAAAGCATTGATAGCTTGTTATTGTAAAAATATGGTTCAGAAACAGAAAATTCATCAAAACACTTAATCACAGACGATGAACTAAGCACCATATTTTTTCAGAATATAATATTTTCCAATCAAACAATGCAAACGAATTTGCCAATAGCCTTCTTTCAAATTAGAATTTAAAAGTTTTTGTTTTTATGAAAAGTGAATGATATCAGTAAAACAACGGATCTACAATAAGTAATAAATCTTTATAAGACATATCTTGCAGCGACTACTAGAATTATTAAATAATTGTGTACTATCTTGATTACTATCGGTCGAACAGACAAAAGCATTTAACAAAAACATACACTAGTAACTTTGGGAAGTTTTGATCGATTTTTGATTTGAGAGTCATTCATTGAGACATTAAATAAAAAAATCGTGGATATGATAACTTCTTTTATCAAAAAGACTGAAATTCGGTATATCTGATTATGATTAAATGATTAAATATTTTTAGAAAAATTGGTTTTCATAAGTGCGAATTGTTGCAAAACGTATGTTACTATTCACTCAGTATTGTTTGTTTGAATCTTCCCATTGATGTTTAGGACTGTAACTGGTCAGTCTCTAATTGGCATATGTGCATACTGTGCGTATTACCTCGATATAGACTTAATTCACGAACATTATAAGCGAAGATGGATAGTGGCTAGCAGTGAAATCCAGGACGCGAGTTTCGTCCTATTTGGGACTCGTCAGCTGGATGTATCTGTATCTCGAAGTTGATGTTCGCTCCGGAACTCGAACCCAGTACCTTACGCTTCAAACGCCATCGCGTTGTCCACTCAGCTACTGAATCCTGATAGCCACTTGCTTGTGCAATGGGGTGAAGTTTGAATTCACTCAGCATTGTTTGTTTGAATTTTCCAACTGCTAGCCACTATCCATCTTTGCTTATAATGCTTGTGAATTGAGGCAATATGCACAGTATGCACTCATGGCAAATAAGAGACTGACCAGTTGCAATCCTGAGCATCAATAGGAAGATTCAAACAAACAATACTAAGTGAAAAACATTTAAGTCTATGCTTGATAACAGTATATAATTTTTAAAGTTCGACTACATCAAATGACCTTCTTCTGAATGGTAGACAAACATTCAAATTTAAGAATCTTGTATCATTGATGTAGCAATAAAAAATTGATACACTATGACAATTCAAAAAGTTAATCAACAAATAATTTCTATAGAAATATACTCAATTTGTCAAGAATATAAAATAACAACTTGAGATGGTGGAGAAGATTTGTAGCTCAGACGGATGATTTTATTCTCTAAGCTGGATGGTTTGGTCGTGGAGCTTTCATCATCCTTCTGAACGAAATCCTCACCACTTCTACCCAAAGTTTGTGTTGATGATGTCGTTCAGAAGGACAATGAAAGCTCCACGACCAAACAATCCAGCTCAGAGAACAAAACTCCATTAAAATAACAACTAAATATCATTGTATTATTGTAACAGATTTTTAAATAAGTTTAAATATGTCCCATAATTCATTAGGTAAACAACATCATCATAATTTCTACTGAATCTATCATGTATTAAGCATCATAAATAAAAAAAAGCCTACAAAAGCAGAAACCAAACAAGAAAACAACTTATGAATTTAATATTTAATAAATTACAAAAAAGAATTGAATATTGTATACTCTCATTACTGGTTTATTTTATATATATTGAAACCATTCAAATCAAGTTGATATATAATAACACAACTTTTAATATTCAATTAAGCTTTAATATAAAAACATGGCACGAACTAAATACAAGTAACTAATTTGTATTGAATTAATAATAATAATAATAAGTTAGAAATAGAAAAATAGATTGATGATTAATATTATGGTGTTATGATTTAATAATAATAATAATAATAATAATAATAATAATAATAGTAATGATAACGATAGTAATAATGATGATAATAATAATGGTAATAATAATAGTGATAATAATAATTATGCTATAGACAAATAATTAATAGAAACATAGGTCCAATAATAAGAAATCTGATTAAAACAGAGATTAACACTAAATTAATTTATTATATCTGCGTATACAGTATCAGCATTATTAGTACAAGCATATTTGCACACACACAAATAGACAGAATACAATACGAATATAAAAGAAATGACCATTAAATGAAGAAAGTCATTATATAAGAAACGTGAATATAGATCACGTTGATTGAAAAATTTAATAGGTCATTTTATATCATTTTCATATCATCATTTCATTGTATTACATAATAAGACAACTAAATAAATAAAAAAAATTTGCCAGAACTGATATGATATAGAATAAATATTGATAAGGTTATTGCTTAAAAACAAGATCACTAAGCATAAAAATTTCACATTTATCTTGTTTATCATAAAATTAGAGGAGATAGTTTCCTATATTATTCACATAAAACTGAACACAAATTGAATAAAATCTTTGACATAAAACAAGATATATCATAAATTCAACAATAGTTAATCATTTAATGTAATCAACTATTATGATAGACCAGCTGAGTAAAACTAACTGGAACATTCCTTTCTTAAAGTTATTTAATTAATTAACTTATTTGAAATCTCATAAAACTGAGCGAGAAAAATAAAATGTGTTACACAAATTAAAATTTGTGTTTGAACTGAAATACTGACAAAGGCAACCAAATAGAAGCAAGTGGTTTTCCTAATGAGCTGATCCTTTTGATTTAAACGTTTGATCCACGAAGCAACGGAGCAGTCATCCTATCATAACAGATAGCCAGAAATAGGTTCAGTCAGTTACAACGTAGAACTTCGTACGTACGTACATCAGTTCCAGTTGCCATACCACATTAGCACAGAGATGAAGTTGTCGATTCAAATCCCATAATGGTAGAAGTAGTAAGAGTATAAGCAGTAATCGGAAAGATTAGGGTTTGAAGATGTTATTGAAGGAGTATAATACAATGAAATAAATTTGGAAAGAGAAAAAGGATACAGACATGAAGAATTCAGATTAGAATTTGGTAGAACACAAAGAGTGGATGCACCTTCGCCATTGCAAACGATTTTGAGCCATGTCATTCAAGGTCTCTAACCATCAACTGCTATCATCTCGCGAATCCCAACCAGGTAGTCTGCACCTATCAGCATCGCTCAGTCCACTTGTCAGTGACTTCATGGATTTGTGCCACGTTTTGGTCTGGCCGCCTCTAGCTATTTTCCAACCTACTCCTACACCATAGAACATTGCACGTCGAGGCAGTCAGTGGTTGGGCATAGGCAACACATGTCCCAGCCATCTCAACTTGTGAAGTTTCACTACTTCATCAATCGATTTCCCATCCTTACCTAGTACCCGTTTCTTAACATCTGCATTACTTACCCGGTGGTCCCAGGATATACGAGCAATGCTTCGAAGACACCTATGATCGAACACTAGTAGCCTACAAATATCCTCTACTCTTACCCGCCATGTTTCACTGCCATAAAGTAAAATGGAACGAACTGCTGCACAGTAAACCTGTCCTTTGGTTCCTAGACGGATATCTCGCCTACGCCATAAATGACGCAAGTCGGCGAAAGCTAGACGAGCCTTCTGTATCCGTGTTAAGATTTAGTCACACACCAGACCACAACACGCTCAACTACTTCACTCCCTATCATTAGTTCAGGTGCCGATGCAATCCAATCCTGAAGTAACATTTTGCACTTCGAGGGGGAGAATCGCATCCCGAACATGCCTGCATTGTTGCTTATAGTGGTCAGAAGACTCTGCATTTTATCAGTGTGTTTACCAAATAAAACTATGTCGTCGGCGTATTCTAAGTCAACAAGTGAGCCGCCCGGTAACAGTTCAACTCCTGGAGATTTAGATGATGAAAGTGTTATCTCTGAAAGCATGTCAATGACAAGACTGAAAAGACCACTGCTTGATAGATCCTTGACAATAGTCTGAAGTTACGCTTGCTAATTTTGATAATCAACACTTAGCCAGAAGATAACGTCTTTTAACTCCGCACCACCTAACGAACTCTCTGAAATAAACTACTCTTCATATAAAAACTGTTTTGTAGTCTTTTTTATACGATCTCATACATAGTTGTCAAGTTATGTTCCAGTTTGGCGTTCTGAAGTCAGTGATATTGCTTCCGTAAGCATTTCATGGACACAACAAAGGATACTGAATCCGGCAATCCAGAGACCGATACATATGACTTTACGAAAAACACGGTTATGAGCATCTATTGACTTATACACGGTACAGAAGACTTCATTTAACAATTGTGTAAATAAAACACTTTTAATTGTGAATATTGAACACACAAGTCTTTAAAAGTCTGAGATGATAGGATCTAATAGATATCATTTAGTAAATATATAATCACCACACAGAATTATGGACGTAACTTTAATACAAGTAGAGAAATAGTTTAATAGTTTAGATTATTAACTACGTAACACAGTCAGCCAGTCAGGTATATAACTTTTAATTACTCCTTTTAAAGCTAACAAATAACTCAGAATTCATTAGTGAACATCAACGTACTGTCCTGAACAAGTACTAACGTAGAATAAGTCAATAATATAAAAACTGAATATTTACAATAATAATAATAATAATAAAATTTAACCAACTAATACCTTGACAGGAGATCTTAATTTTGACGAATCGTTTTGCTTTTCCTGTTGTGATTGCCAAATACTTCGTGATACACAACCTTTTGGAATATCTTTATTCGGATTTGCACGTACATAAACAGAACCCTGTAAATAATCATTAAATAATAAAATGTTTATTATTACACTAATGCTAGAAGTATATTTTTCTTTTCTAACACAGATTATGTTAATAATATCAGTAATAATTAAAAAGAGATAATACGTATTACTTTTACTTTAAAAAGAGATAAAAAACGAGAGTTTGCTAGCATTTACATTTCTTAAGATGAAAATATTATCAGAGGATTGACAACAAAAACGAATAGAATACAAATAAATACGCATACATCGATATCTGTATGGGTGAATATATATAATGCAATTAAGTCGAAGTGATGGTATGGTCATATCATGAGCAAATGAGATACTGATATGATTGTCCGATATCTGTCTATTTCTATTACTATATCTGTACCTGTTATATGTTAGCATGGATGAATGCAGTGGAATGAATTCGAAAGTAGAAAACTAAATCAATTAGAATATAAAGCTTAATTAGGACAAATCTTTAGTAGTAACAGTAATAGTAATAACAATAATAACAGTAGTAATAATAGTAACAAAGATGGTGAGAGAATACAGCTTTTATTAATCCTACAAGAATATTTAAACAAGATGAGAAAAGCAAGTTGTAATATAGACAGTAGATAGTAAGAAAATATTCTAGACAGTTTGACCTTAGTTGTTTAGTAAAAAGAGATGAAGGAAAGATGCGAGAAAGAATAATTTTGTCAAAAAATCAATGGTTATTTTCTAAATAACATCTGATGAGATTATCATTGTCTTCCTTGGTAGTTCACAGAGTCCAAAATGCAATATATTTTTACATAGAATTTCGGAAAGTATTGTATACCGAAATGTTTAGATGTTTTAGTGGCTTGTTAAATACCATGAAAACTTCTCGAACAGCACTAGGGAACAGTCATTGAGATTTTTAAACCATAATTTAAAAACCATATTACAAACTTGTAAAAATAAACCAGCTAGATGGAAAAGGCGTTCCTAGTTATGGTGAAAATATTACTTAGAAATCAACTGATTTGCGTAAAGTATCGATTGACACGCTGTTATGAGGTAATTTTTTGTGTGCTATCAGTAATAGATTACATGGACAAAGAAAATAAGTTCAGCTAAATATCAGCTAGAATAAGTGGAACTGTTTTAGAATGCACTACAACGCAAAATATAAAAGAGATACTTGAAAATAAAAAAGTTCAGTTTATCATTACGTCTGACACAATCGAAAACCATATCAGGTCTGTAGTAGTGGATTTTTATTTTAAAAACAAACACGGGAAAGCTTCAATTTTAAAATCAATTTACGTCCAAACACAAAATAATAGTTTAAAACTAACTGTAGGTACAAACTCATCATCCGTATTATTGGAATTGGTTGGTTGAGTATGAGAAACACTTCCTGTTAAATTTTGAACTTTAGTAACGATTTCGCTCCAATCTAAATTGGATTCACTTCTTGCATTGATTGTAACATGAACTGTCTAATGCAAAAATAATTTTAAAAAGATATTTTATGAAATAGTGGACATTTCATATGATCTAGTAGCTTGATGACAATGTTTAAGTAGAAATTACACAACATAATGTTAGGAAATTCCGGTTCACTTTATGGAAGTGAAACATGGCCGATTAGAGTAGAGGATATTCGTAGGCTACTAGTGTTCGATCATAGGTGTCTTCGAAGCATTGCTCGTATATCCTGGGACCACCGGGTAAGTAATGCAGATGTTAGGAAACGGGTACTAGGTAAGGATGGGAAATCGATTGATGAAGTAGTGAAACTTCACAAGTTGAGATGGCTGGGACATGTGTTGCCTATGCCCAACCACTGACTGCCTCGACGTGCAATGTTTTATGGTGTAGGAGTAGGTTGGAAAATAGCTAGAGGCGGCCAGATCAAAACGTGGCATAAATCCATGAAGTCACTGACAAGTGGACTGGGCCATGTTGGTAGGTGTAGACTACCTGGTTGAGATTCGCGAGATGATAGCAGTTGATGGTTAGAGACCTTGAACGACATGGCTCAAAATCGTTTGCAATGGCGAAGGTGCATCCACTCTTTGTGTTCTACCAAATTCTAATCTGAATTCTTCATGTCTGTATCCTTTTTCTCTTTCCAAATTTATTTCATTGTATTATACTCCTTCAATAACATCTTCAAACCCTAATCTTTCCGATTACTGCTTATACTCTTACTACTTCTACCATTATGGGATTTGAATCGACAACTTCATCTCTGTGCTAATGTGGTATGGCAACTGGAACTGATGTACGTACGTACGAAGTTCTACGTTGTAACTGACTGACTGACTGACTGAAACTCCGTTATATAACAAAAAAACTTTCCGCCATCATAAAAATTTCAAAAATAAACGAGAAAAGAAATTTAAGACAGATTCCAGCTCGTTTTTATTTTTTTAAAAAAAGTAATAGAAACAATTTTTTAAAATTTAAGGAGCGAAAATACTTATTTCCTAGTGCATGGATTAGGAATTAATTCATCAAGTGTGAAATATAACGTGACATTTTATCTCAACTTATTAGTCTAAACATTTTACAAACAGTCGTAAGACTATGGGGTTTCAACTTTGTCACATTTACTACCGTGTTGAAGTGGCAAAAGTTTATAAAATAGCATAAACATTTGGGTGAGTTTCTACGTGTATTAGAATTCTTACTAACGTTATTATTATCACCATTATTACATTTACATATTGATACTAACCAGTAAATTAAACAATGAATTTGAACTTTTTGCATTAACCTCTTACAGTTTGAGGTTTGTCAATGACTTAAGATAGAACTGAGAACATGAAGAAGAGAAAGAATCCACAACCATCTGCTTAACAAACGGGATTGAAACTAAAATTAATGTTCCTGGGAAACACCTATAGCTTTAGTCAACCAGATCAATCTAACATATACCACTTGAAGTGATGTGCTATTCACATGTGCTTCCTAACGAATTTCTGGTAAGCACAATGCATTCTTAGGTAAAGAAAGTTAGACTCAAGAATATCCTATGATTTAACCGTTTTAAGGGCTTTTATTCACAATTCTGGCTTCAACAAAAGGCAATAATTAACACTCATTTGTTGATTTGGAGCTTTGACTTTTGTAAAATAAGAATTTGTCAAAGTACCCAGTTTGTATTTCTTTAGTTCAATTGAACCATATTTTAGACATACTCTGGTGCGTTGACATGCGGTTCATTAAACAAACCGGAGTCTAAAAGGATCATAACGTTTCACGTAAAATGACTTTCAATATTATAGAAAGTCTCAGCAGTTTACTGCTCGTTTACGCATCTCATACTAATTCATATTGATGCATGTTAATTTTTATCGAAAACAAGACTAATTAAGTATAACATAATATGTAAACTGCACAAACTGTATTGCTCTGTAATTTTTCTACTCTTTCAGATGCTATTTCATGATATTCTTAAATAGTTTCAAGTAGATGAAAGTTATATCTCCATGATAAGAGTAACTACCGAACATTATATATAAACGAGCTATTTGTTATTCCGAATTAATATATCGATAATGCAGTATATCTTTCTCACAAAAAAGGGTATTCATTTTGCATGTCATTAAAGCAAGCGACTTCCCAAATATATATGCAATCAGTTTGTCACCAACTGAGGGAAATATAATAAATAATAAATAATATTATACAAGCTAAACATTGATAGGAAATAGAAGCTGAAGAGAACAATATCGAAATGGAGACTTGGACATGAAAATCACCATAATTTTCAATTAAGAACAGCACTCACAAAATGCATAGCTTTAAAAAAGTATAGGGATAATTACCCTAAGAAGATATATGAAAGTGATATATTAACGATCCTCAGACTGAATAAAAACAACACTCTTTTAGTTACTTATCAGGAGTAAATTAAAATAAAAATATCATAAACTCACTCGACATAGCCGTTTCACACAGTCGACATGTCTTGGACAAGCTAATTTAAAGCTTTCGGACGACGCCTCTCCTTGCTAATTAACATAAAATTAAAAATTATAAGAATCATTGTTAAAATGAAGAGGAAAGTTGGAGTTGCATGGAAAAAAAACTCGTATGCCTATTGCGTAACTATGTAAATCAACCACAAAGTGAATTTAATCGCAAAACCTAAGATAAAAAACTACTAAAAGAAGAGTAATACTATCTAAGTCCACTTACATTATTATTTAGAGTCAACTATGCAACCACATATGGACTTATGATAACCTAGTGTTCGATGAATTATGATAACACTTGATAATTCGAACCTTAGTAGGAGTTGTGAATGTTGGACGATAAGCGAATAAATAGCTACGCGACAGATCCACCAAGATATTCACACAAACACTCATCAATAAGTTCGTGAAAACAAATTTAGGATAAAAATGGTCAATCGTAAATAAACTATCAAGCGACATATCTGTACCATGGAATTCTGAATGAAATTTCTGTATTTCTATATTTAATAGAAATTTTTAGTTAAAACACGTACATCATCAGTATTCTAGCGTACTGAATCAATCCTGATATATTGATGACGAAAATAATGTAGAACTATAATTTTGATTACAAGCTACACTCCCAAAGATGTCCTACTGTGGCTAAGCAACGATTAATCTCTAACTAACAAATGCATAGCTTCGATAAGCTTGACTCGTTAAAGTAGATTACGTTCGAACACAAAAACGTCAAATTCAATACTAGCTAAGAAAAAATCATCACGTAATTTATTTTCCCTCACTTGATACACTCCGTTCAAGTAACACACAAATCACTGATCCCGTTTTCATTTAACCTTATCATGGGTAGAGAGATGATAATTTCATCGTCTGACTTTTCAGGGGTTGATATCCCACCAGATTTGCTTGTTGACCTAGAATATTTAGATGATCCAGTTTTGTTTGATGAAGATGCTAACAAAGTGCAGAGTCTTCTGACTACGTAAGGTAAAAAAGCAAGTATGTTTGGAATGCAATTCTCTCCCTTCAAATCCAGAGTGCTGATTCAGGATTGGCTTGTGTCAACCACTTGACTATTGATAGGCAAAGAAGCAGTCGAACGCATCAACTAACCCACTTATCTAGAATTTTGCATCAGTTCTGGTGGTCCACTATCTGACGAAATCTCCAGACCGATTCAGCAGGCTCGATTACCTGATGCCACCATGCGTCACTTTTGATGTAGTGCGGATATCCATTTTCCAATCAAAGGATGAGTTCAATGCTCAACAGTTCACTCCATCCAACTCTATGGGTGTGAAACATGACCATTAAGAATAGAGGACATTTGTAGGTTACTGATATTCGATCGTAGGTATCTTCGAAGCATCGCTCGTGTATTTTGGGACCACCGAGTGACGAATGTCATTGTTAGGAATAGGAAACAAGGCAAATCTAAACATCTAAACACATAAACTTTGGTACAAGGAAGCACCAAATAAATATGCGCCACATAAATCATTTGATATGTGTGAAAGCTGTGATACTGCCCAGGTGCCCAGACTGAAGCAGGCGGTTTTCTTAGAGGGGCACACCTAAAAGACCTAAAAGTCTGGTCCACAAGGCAGTGGAGCCGGTGACCAAAAAAGGTTCATACGCCATTCGTTCCATCAGGATACTGGAGCCCATGTGCACCATTGGTTTGGAATCAAGGTTTTTCAACTCCCCTAGGTGGACCCTCCATGTCCACCAACCCGGTTAAAGCGCCGGACATTCGCTTTTCGTCTTCTCAATTTCGTAAACAACACCTCCGCCACGAGAAGGCAGTGAGCAGGACTTCCCTGGCAGAGGCTATACATTCGCGTGGCCATGAAAGAGCATTTGAAGAGGGGGAGCGGACTCTCTCCACTCTCGGCCGTACCAGGGCATTTGGCGGCAAATATGGCAAATCGATTGAAGAGGTAGTAAATCTTGACCAACTGATTTGGTTGGGATATGTGTTACGTATGTCCAACAAGCGCCTACCTCGACGGGTGATGTCCTCTGGTGTAGGAGTAGATCAGAAGATAGGTAGGGACGGCCAAACCGAAATATGACATCAGTTCACCAAGTTATCAATAATCGCACTGAGCCATGTTACCAGGTGTAGACTACCTGGTTGGAGTCTATGTGGTTATCGTAACCAATGGTTAGAGACTTTAAATTACATGGCTGAAAATCGTTTTCAATGACGCAGGTGCGTCCATCATTTGTCTCCCCCAAATCCTGAGATTCTCGGTTCCTCATAACTTCCTTTGTTTTTATTGCGCAAATTCATATTGTATTTTTGAGTTGTGTCTCCAATTCTCGATCTTTTCTATTACCATCAATACCGTTACTACTTGTGTTGTTCTGGAATTCGGTTTGACAATATCATTTCTCTGTGCTAACAGAGCATAAAAACAAAGGAAGTTATGAGGAACCGAGAATCTCAGGATTTGGGGGAGACAAATGATGGACGCACCTGCGTCATTGAAAACGATTTTCAGCCATGTAATTTAAAGTCTCTAACCATTGGTTACGATAACCACATAGACTCCAACCAGGTAGTCTACACCTGGTAACATGGCTCAGTGCGATTATTGATAACTTGGTGAACTGATGTCATATTTCGGTTTGGCCGTCCCTACCTATCTTCTGATCTACTCCTACACCAGAGGACATCACCCGTCGAGGTAGGCGCTTGTTGGACATACGTAACACATATCCCAACCAAATCAGTTGGTCAAGATTTACTACCTCTTCAATCGATTTGCCATATTTCCCTAGTTTCCTATTCCTAACAATGACATTCGTCACTCGGTGGTCCCAAAATACACGAGCGATGCTTCGAAGACACCTACGATCGAATACCAGTAACCTACAAATGTCCTCTATTCTTAATGGTCATGTTTCACACCCATAGAGTTGGATGGAGTGAACTGTTGAGCATTGAACTCGTCCTTTGGTTGGAAGACGGATATTCCGCTTGCGCCACATGGCGTTGGTTTATTATATGACACTCTTTGATAAAATTATAGTTAGCTGAGTTCATGATGACATGCAGAGTACTATTGTGCTCCCATTACATGTGCATGACCTTTTATTAATTAATAATCAAATGTATGAACATGTCCACATGTAAATGAGAGCATTTTCGACTATAGCGCTTGCCTCGTCTTGAGGGTAGTAAATCTTTACTTGTACTTTGAGTTGTGAGAAATGAAGTGGTTCCTTATTTCTCAAGTATAGGTAATAAGCAACGTAGATAATAGCAATGGGAGACGAAGATTCGGGGAAAATAAAAGCCATAACAATTGGTAACGGAGAAAAATTACAAGTTCCAATTTTTAATAGAACTATCTAATTCCTGTTATAACGTAGTTTTCAGTTCAACTAAACCCAAATCTTGACTTTCTATCATAAATAAACTTATGCATTTTACCAAGTTACTGTCACAATGAACGACACAGTTACAAATGTAATAGCATGTCAATTTAGGCGGCAGAAATATAATCACTACTTTAGTTAATGAAGACTTATTTATTAAGTCTCGTTTAGTGCCCATCAATGCACTAAAAGAACACACGTTCAAACAACCGAACCCAGAATCGCACTTAAAAATCATAGATAGATTAACGAGGTACCTGATATATTTTCTGCTGAAATACAACAGGCGTGGACAATTTGATTTCGGATTTTGGACTTTCTTAGAATGCCCTCTCAAATTACCAGTCCTAGATGGAAGGAAAAAATAAGGACCGGTAATTTGAGAGAACGCTCTAGCAAAGTTCAAAATCTGAGATTAAACTGTGCACGTTTGGAGTTCTGCTTCTCACACCAAGTAATGAATTACTGGAATTCCCCACCAAAACATAAACAAAACTGAATTGCTAACAGTACATCTACAATTTATTTTCTAAATCCAATTACGTTGCCTCCAAACGCCCTGGTACGGCTGAGAGTGGGGAGAGTCCACTCTCCCTCTCGAAATGCTCTCACATTACCAGCGAATATATAGCCTCTGACAGGGAAGTCCTACTCACTGCCCTCTCGTGTCATTAGGGTTTTTTACGAAAGTGAGAGGACGAAAAGCAAATGTCCGGCGCTTAAAACCGGGTTGGTGGACAAGGCGAGTCCACCTACGGGAGTTGGAAAACCCTGATTCCAAACCAATGGTGCACATGGGCTCCAGTATCCTGATGGAACGAATGGCGTATGAACTTATTGTTGGTCACCAGCTACCATGGGACTGCATCTCCTCACGATGCTCCACTGCCTTGTGGATCAGATCTTTCGGTCAAAGGCTCCGGGTGTGGCACCCTAAGAAAACCACCTGCTTCAGTTCGGGCACCTGGGCAGTATCACAGACCTCAAGCAAATCGAATGAGATATGTATGGCCCATATGTATCTGGTGCTTCCTTGTACCAATATTTATGTCTTTTAATAAATAAATAAATAATAAATTACATTGTAAGAACCAGATATCTTGCTAATAGAATGATTTAGGATATATAATTTAGCACAAACAATAACTCTCAGATAGTTAAAATGTGTAAACCTACATTTCAGAGTTAAACACTGAGTCACAAACATCCAACCACAACATATAAATCAACAGGACAGATAAGCTTACCCAGACGATCAAAACGAATTTCGCAGGAGTCACAACTTCAACACGGATAAAACCATAGAGAACCTTTCCAGAAGAAAAATTATTTAGAAATTGATCCAAGTCGTGACCTAATAAATAAAAGATATAAAATAAAACGAAAACGGTAACCTTGATCTTTGACGTCTAGCGTATGGGTTAGTCCCATATATCCAAAGATTACCCTAAAAAAATCAATATAATGTGTCCTTCTTACCAAGACCATTTTCCATCCAAAACACAATTAACTGCTGAACAAAGAGCCTGTCCATTTGTATTTAGGTCGATCATAACAAAGTTCGCAAAAATTCGCCCGTGACCTTGAAATGATATTATTATTCAAATCTCCTCTGGATGATTCAGATAATTCAAATGAATGTGATCGAAATAGAATATTTTTTCGTTGAACATTCTGGTGCACCTTAAAGTAATGGATTATTACTAGGCAATACTTTTGAAATGCTATCCTATTTGCCGTTATCGACAGTGTATCACATGAGAGTGAGACGTGTGAATTAGTTAGTTGCCGCTTGAAGGTCAAGGGACAAGAGCTGCTGCTTGGTTTGATCTATCGCAGTTCAAGCATTGAGGCAAATGAGGTCCTGCTAAGTAGTCTCAATACTTGGTCACAAAGTGGTGGATGTCTAATCCTAGGGGACTTTAATACACCCATGGTAGACTGGGAAAATCTGCGAAATGAATCATCAGATAATTCCTTCGAACAGCAGCTAGTTGAGGCGATTATCACATGTTCCCCAATGCAACATGTTAAAGAAGCGACAGGATACGGTACGGGCTCTGAATCATCTTTACAAGATCTTATATTGACTAACTATGAAGATGACGTTGCGAACCTGGATTACATGTCACCCCTAGGTGAACGTACTTTTAAATGCACTTTTAACCTTTGACTTCCATATAACTGTCAATCACGAGCACATGTCAGCTCAATCCAGACCGAACGTCTGGGAAGCAAACATAAAAGACATCATGCACTCAGAATCGTCAACAGACCCAGAGTCCTCAATCGAAACGGTTTGGGACGTATCTGTTCATTTGATGAGTATGCTTCATCTGCTAACTCAAAATATCTTGCAGCCAAACGACCCTGTAAAGCACTAGACGCAATTTCTGCAGCTTGAGTGAATAAATCTCCAGCTAAAGAAAAATTTTGTTTAAGACAGAAGCCACCGACAGAATACATTTCAGCCATACGAGCCAAAATACGATAAACTGGTAACAAATCTTCAGCAGCATCGTAGTGACCTTCAGCATCTAAGCCTTCATCTGTACACCCATCACTGAAAGTGGATGAACCCATCGCACTATCGACTGCTCGTTCATACCACACTACAGCTTCGGACCAAGAATCAGGGGATATGGAGGAAAGTAATGAATGACTATCGTTATTCAGAAACGACTGTAAAGCAGGAAGCATAAGTATGTCACGCGGGGTTGTTGTAAAGTTGAATTGATGTTCTGGATTTAGGAAATTAACTGACAAATCTAGATAGCGAGCGAGTAGGATCATGCATCGACGATCACCACCTTCTGCAGCACGCCATAGATGATCGATACCAATACGGATATCACTTGGATCCGGTTTTATTGGGCATTCCAGTAGCAGCTGAGTTGGTAAACCAAGATAATAATGCGCCATGACTATCATGGCTTCCAGACAACCTAGCTGAGCAGCGTGACGTTCATGAAATAGGACAGCTGACCAATTGATCAAAGTTACTGGGTCGTTATTTGCTTCGTTATGCGATTCATCGAACTCACTAAATTCGCAAGTCTTTGTTGAAAATTTCTTCACCTCTTAATGCTACATGTGACCATTGACCTCTATTTGGAATGAAACGCCCAGCTTCATGAAGTCTAGCAAGTTCGTGATGTATTTGCCCAAGAATGGAATGGCCAATTTCTTGATCCAAGTTTGTAGGGTGATCGGCACAACTTGGTTTGTGATTTTCATGCATTAGTTGATACAACAAATTTCCTGTCACACGATGACATTCCTCCGCATCCACATCACTAGATTCACTGATATTATGCTGTCTTTTGGGGATAAAAATACTACGATTGGAAATTGAATAATTTGGTCCTGTAGGAAAGGCTTCATCCACTAATGAATGTGATTCTAAGGACCGCATACCCAGGACATTAGGATGAGATATACATACTGACAAATCAACTGAGGTAGAATCGCCACCAAAATTCATGCAGTTTTGATCAAACCAGAAGCGATTTCGTGAGATTTACTAACAGGTAAGTCCGAACAAGGTTGGATTAAATTAATTCGTCCAACATTTCCTGAGTCACCAGATGCTGCACGGTTTCTAGAATCTGGTTGCTTGGGGACAACTGAGCTGAAATTTTGTATTGGTTGTGGACAAATCTGTCCCTGACCAGATATATTTAAATCAGGTGAAAGTTGGCGGCTCAACAGCTGAAAAGGGGGGATTCAGACATGATGTTTCACGTAGCTTCAGAGCGTAATAGCTGTCAAATGAAAGACCGTCACCTACCGAATAGAAAGATGATACACAATCCGAACTTTGTCCTACGGATTTAGAATGATCACAAAGTGAGACACTAGCACAACGAGGGCGAGTTTCAGTAAGTAACGACATGAGCATGCTCTCTGATGAACGAACAACTGTTGGACCATATAATTGAGATGGGGATTTACAGGACATCTGATTATTTAGACTGATTGTGCGTCGACGAAATTTCGATTTGCGAAACATTCCATATGTTCACAGGTCAATTTGATTGACTTCTTTTTCTGCGGGGTTAGGTGGATTTTGATCAGTTTGTTGACACTGCATTGGCCCATCTAATTCAGTGGGAGCCAAATCAAATTGAGCCAATCCTAGCCATTTACATAAAGGATTACATCTATGGCTATGGAAGAATAAAGCCATACCCCTCGTACCTAGATTGCCATCATTGTAGCCCACTCCATCTGATGTATGAATTTGAGGATCAGTGTACAAGTCTCCAACACCTTGGATATCTACTACTAACAATCGGTGACCAGAACGTTCAAATGTGAAGTGGCTGGAGGTCTGTGGGGTATTACGTAAACACTCATCAACGAAGCCACAATTTCAGTTGTATTTACGATATTCTCCTTCCATAAAGCGTTCAATATGAAAAAATGCTGGTGAAAAATCTACTTTTTCAGTGCCAACAGAACTGTCAGGAGACAATTCGAGAACAGACAGCTGGGAGATATCCACCTTTTTGGGAGGATTATGACAATTGAAAGCTTCACCCCATAACTTTGCTTCCATCTGTAGACGTACATCGTCAAAATAAATCTGCTTGTCTGTAGGGGCTATTTATCGCTTGGTCACATAGTTTGAAGTATGATGCCAGTCATTGGTATCCGTTGCTCTCTGACTCTGTTTTTTCATTCTAAAGCATTCCTGCATTGTTCCACGATCAAACGGTTCCGATTCCATTTTGATTCGCACCTCATCCACAAACCATTTTTTCTTGATTGCACTGTACCAGTGTCTGAGGGCGCATCGAACAGGACATCTATCCCATGGTAGATTGCTCCATGAGTCCAGGTCTATTGATTTAACCTTCTTGAATGCTCTTTGCTATAGAATAAGGGCATTTTGTTGTTCACTCATAGAAGCGCCCGACTGCAGTGTTACTTCAGAGATGTTTAAATTATCATCAGTAACCTCATCAATATAAGATCCCATTTCGTTAGATAATTGCACCAATATTCGCTTGGGCAACTAGAACTGAACATCCGACAGGACTACGTAGCCTTAGATACTAGAAACTAATCACGAGAATACAACAGCAAGTCCAAGACGTATTTCGGAACTTACATTAAAAAGTTGCCTCACCCCACACCCCTTGGATTACACCTAGTGGGCTGAGAAATTCTCCACAATGGTTCAGTAGAGAGGTTCGCATCCTTCTCCAAAAGGGAAGGAAAATGTGGGATAGCTTTAGGTTACTGGGGTCTGATGAAACAACATCTCTGTATCAAAAAGTTCAGAATACATGTGCCTCGACCCTCCGTAAGTATAGAAAGTTGTGCGAAGAGAAAATAGTTAAGGAATTCATAGAATGTCCTAAACGCTTGTATTACTACATAAATCGAAGGACAAAAAGAAGAAATGTTTCTTCACTATGGGGAGACAGTACTGCCTCATCACTAGTGGAGGATGACTTTGGTAAAGTCCAAGTATTCTCAACCTACTTTAGCAATGTATATACCATAAAAACACCCTTCACACCAGTCCATGAAAATCCCCTCACACAAACACTGGACAGTGTGACCACTAAAGAACTCGATGTCTTTGGTCTGCCAAATAAGCTTGACACAGGCAAATCCACTGAACCCGATGTACTACATCCTAGGTTACCAAAGGTATTAGTTAACTTCGCTGCGAACCCTTTAAGTATATGCTTTCATCTATCCGTAACCCGGGGTCGTTTACCAAGAGACTGGAAGAATACCATAGTAAGCCCTACCTTCAAAACAGGTACGAAACATAAACCGGAGAATTACCGACTTATTAGCCTTAATAGTGTGGTTGTTAAAATCTGAGAAAAGATTATTCGGAAGGAGCTGTTTAACTACCTCGATGAAAACCGGATCCTTTAGGAAAAGCAGCACCATTTTAGAACAGGTTATTCTTGTCTCACTAACTTATTAGTCGCTCGTAAAAGCTGGTGCGCTCTTAAGGACCAAAAGTTACCTGTAGACGTAGCCTACATCGATTTCAGCAAGGCTTTCGACAACGTTCCGCAAAACAGGCTGTTATATTAGCTAAGAAATATCAGGATTAGAGCCAAGTGTATTGTGATGCATATCAGTCATCAAGGTACAGATACATACACCATGAATAACACTGAGCTACCTGTTGTTAAGACACACAATGACCTAAAAGTCATCGTCAGCCAAGACTTAAAGGCTACTGCACACTAACGTGCAATAGCCACCAAGGTTTTTAGAACTTTATGGTCAATACTAAGGCTTTTAGTCATATCGACGCTGAAGCGTTTTTGACTTTGTAGACAGTGTTCGTGCGTCCTTAACTTGAGAACTGCATACAAGCGGCTAGCCCCAGCTTAGAAAAAACAGTTATTTTTTGGAAAGGTTTCAGAAAAAAGCTACTAGGCTGGTTCCCGGAACAGCGAAGTTCCCGTATGATGCTAGACTGACCAAGCTAAACCTATTCCCGCTGTCATATCTTAGAACCGGAGGCAACTTGATTACAGTTTTCAAATGACTTAGTGATAAATTCGCACCTGATATGCCCTCATTATTCTTGTTTTCCGAAACAGAAAATTTAAGAAGACACTCCAAGAGAGATCACAAGTCAAGAAAAAATTACTTATCAGCTGATTATCGGCTTTCCCATCGAATCATCTGCAAGCGGAATTCAATACCTCAACACGTGAATGAGGATCCATCCGTCGACTCTTCCAAAAGAAAGTTGGATCGAATGAGAGACCATCATTGCCAGAACTAACACAGGCCATCAAGCTTCCTGTCCTTTCCAAAGTGGAACTGAACACACTCCCTACTAAATCGATTTTGTCACTTCAGACTGTAGATCTTGATTACTCGTAAAGAGCAGAATATATGCTTTCAGTCAAGTTTATTAGACTCTACCCCCAAATTCAGAGTACCCTAACTTAAGTTGCGTCTGAGCTGCACTTAAGTAAATAAGCTGAATGATGCTGAGAGTGGTTAAATATTCTGTGCGCCATCAAAGTCACTTCTGAGCTACCAATATTTTAAAGAGCTGGAATTCAATGGTAAATTTGAATTTGACTCTAAATAAAAGTTTCTTTGGTCGCCTATTGATATTCTTCGACTTATTTATATATTTATGGACCGAAGGGGGAAACAGTTCCCATGGTCTATATATGGTACAATATGCAGCTGAAAATTTAGCGGAAAGTACTGTCATCAGACGAGCTAACCTGTCTTCCGTAATAAGAATAGTGGACTGGATCTGAACTAATCTTTGCAGGTTGTTCTCCATTGGAGGTTCAGCTTCTCTTTGAAAACTTTGGTCAGTGAGGCTGGTACTTTTTAGTGTAAAGCTAGATATGCTACAAGTATTCAGAGTTTGACAACAACTTTTAATATGGCACATTCATAATCAGAGTTTACCGAAACAATCAGGGCAGAAGTCAGAAATAAGCAAGACTTTAGATAACGCAATGGATTACTACAATATGTTGTACTGCATTCTGTACCTATTCTTTTTCATTTTTATCGTCTCCTTAGGTCGTTAATGACTGTGAATATTTGCTTCTTCATAACAATGTTGATTAGTATTTATACTTAACTAATTAGTTAAAACGGTTAAACTAACTAATCAACTACCGTCATAATCGGCTACTATGGTTTTTTAACAAGCATTAGCAACACGTAAATACACTTGTGCAATATGTCTTTAAACACCAACCACTTGCAAATCTAGCGAGAAGGCTACGCAAACATATATATGTCTGTAGCTTATGTAAGCGAGACACGATCAGCTATTGACTATAAATTCATCTCCCTACATGTTCACTATGAACAACTTTCCGTCAGGAACTATCCACAGAAATATTCCACTTATTAGACCACTACTGACTATTTTTCAATTGCTGAGTTCCATGATCAAACAGAGAATACGAATATTAGAAATTTACGGTGAATACGAAATACAAATCCCTTGCAATCTTAGATTTTGGTTAGAATATCTGTCAAGCGATGTTACATGTCTGGCCTAGACTATTTTTTGGCCTATACAAATTCAGTTTACAACCCGATGCTACTACAACGAATAAATCAATAATACCTCATATAGTATTCAAATTCGAACTGCTGTCTACTTCAAGTCTTCATTACTTAGAAGCGAGAGTAATACAGGCGAGTTTCATAGTTGCATTGGATTATCGCGCACTATGTTTATGGTGCCTAATAACACTTTTTAGTTACTCTCACGTATAGTCATATGTAGCGGTAAATAAACCACTAAAATAAATAGTACTGTAAGTCCTCGACATTTGATGTGTACCTCATTAAATTTACAGACTCAACTAGCTGAAGGTGCTCCGTCACGAATCCACACCAGGTCACGAGTGGGTACGCCGCTTTTCACATCTCGCACAACCAGTATCCAGCTAGAGTTAACATATCGATAACCTATCAAATACATCTTCGTAGCCCTTCACTTCTGACTCC